GAAACGCCGATTTTGTGCTCCTGCTCATCTCGCTTGCAGAAATCTGTAAAGTTTACAGCATTGCCTTTTGGGAGGGGGGGAATAAGAATAGGCAAGCTGAGCAGGGCAGGATTGGCAGCTGTGCGTTGTCGCTCTGACCACTGTTAGAGGGCATGGGGCGGCCCTCCCCAGCAAGGCCCTGCCCGCTCTTCCCGCCGCTCTCATGGCTGCCCTCTGGTCACTGGGCTCGGCTCTCATCTGGAGAGCAAGGTCCCTTTTCGCCCACAGGTCAGTGCAGCGATGGGGCTGGAGCCCGAAAAGTGCCCCTTTGCACCCAGGGAAGGGGCTGGAGCTGCTGCAGCTGCATTTCGGCTCGGCGCTGAGGAGCCTCCCAGGGTTTTCAGCTTGGTGCTGAGGCTCCGCCATGCCCGTAAAAGAAATGCCTGGGGCTGTCCAGGCTGCGGCTGCAGCAATGAATGAGCCGCTTCCTCGCTCGCTGCTTTTCTCTGGCTGTGGCCGCGCGCAATGCACCAGAGGAAGCCCAGCAGCCGCGACTCTTTCCCCATCCCTGTGCGCTCCTCCGCTGCCTGCGCTCTCCTCCCCTGCGAACAGCGGCTGTGTTGGGCTCCTGGCTGCACTGAGCGCGACCGCCGCTCCTTTTCAGAGGAAGCAGCCAAGGAGAAGCAGCGGGCAAGAACCGCAGCAACCGCCGTCGCGCAGCCATCTGACTGAGCAACAGCGGTGGTAGCGGTGGCCAAACTCCAATTGCCTCCTTTTATGCCCTCCCTGCTCCTGTAGTGCTGGACAATAGGAGGGAGGGAAGGAAGGGACAAAGAGAGGAAGAAGGAAAAGAAGGAAGGGAGGAAGGGACAATGGAAGGGAGGGAGGGAAGGAGGAAGGGACAAAGAGGGAAGGAAGGAAGGAAAGAAGGAAGGAAGGGACAATGGGAGGGAGAGAGGGAGGAAAGGAAGGTGCCCATGCCTGTACCACCTCCCTCCACCAGAGACTCACAGATTCCCCCCACATCCCTGCCGCACCCCCCCACAGGCCCCCCATAACCTGAGTGATGAGCTGGCCACGCCCCCTAGCCATTGACTTTGCTTGTCAAAAAGTTGCAAAAGGTGATCACATGACCCTGGGACACTGTGACCGTCATAAGTATGAATCAGTTGCCAAGCATCCGAATGTAAATCACATGACCCTGAGGATGCTGCAACAGCATTAAGTGTGAAAAATTTGCTTTTTTCAGTGCCATTGTAACTTCGAACAGTCACTAAGTGAATTGTTGTAAGTCGAGGACTACCTCTACTTTATCATTTTTTCCTCTCTTTTTTTTGGTCAAGTTTTTGACACCTTGCTGGGCGACTGGTGGTACTCGGATATTGCCTTATCCTAAAAGTGGTACAATGGGTGAAAAGGTTGAAAAGTCCTGCGTTAAACCAGAAATATCAGCTTTATGTTTTTTATTTAGTAAAAGGAAATAAGTTTATGATCAGTGTAAAGTATGCACCCAGCCTATGTTATATCCAGGGTCAGAAATAATATGCCTACCATCGGTTTCCAGTAGTGGGAGGAGCAGATTGCAGAAAGTTGGAGTTTTAATCAGATCTAATCTTCTATATGAATCATTGAATTGTACATTTCCTACTGTGTTTATATGACTGACCAGAGGGGAAACTGGCAGGCTTCAGTTACTGGTGGATTATAGGATAAAGGAAGCCCATGTTTGCTTTTTATGATTGTAGATGAAAGATGCTAATAGTGCCAATATTAGGGTTTTTTTTAGCCCAATAGTTTCTTTAACAGTAACCACTAGAGTACCATGAAAACAGGGCTGACAACTGTTTTGTAGCCATGATTTATTTGTCTCTTCTTTCTTTCCTTCCATGTAAGTAATTTTAGTGCCCAGTGCCAGAAAAGGATAGAACTACGTATCATGACATCATATCAATGGGCAGGGATAATTCCAATAAAACAGGTTGCATTGGAGGACTCTGAACTCTGGTTTAGTTTAAAAAACCCCAGCATACCTAGTTATTTTACTGCTAGAACGTGGCAGAAACTTCCAATTATACCTTGTTTGCCTTTAGCTTCAGCATTTAAGAGATTCTATGCAAATATAAAACTTTACTATAATACTTTTTTAAAATGAGTAACATTTTTATAGTTAAACTTTTTGGAAACCAAATTGCCTACTCTGAATGAATACTTTTTTCTAATAACTTTTATTAATAGATTTTATATAGATAATAAAATACATTCAAAGAATAAAAAAAGATTTATTTATTTATTTATTTATTAGATTTCCATGCCACTCATCTTGCCAAGGCAATTCTAGGCAGTTTACAGTCATATACAAAATGTGCTATACAATCATATAAAATACACAAGAAAAGTGTGAAAAAGAAAAGAAAAAATGGAAAAAGTAAAACAAAAAACAAAGAAAGTCAGAAAGTTCGAAAAAGTTTATATATATATATATATATATATATATATATATATATATATATATATATATATATATATATATATATATATATATATATATATATATATATATATATA